GCTTACACAAACTCATTATTCATATTTCCTCACTCCTTACATCTCAGTACATATCAAGCCTAGCAATTTGATTTTTAAAATTAAATAAAAGGTATCTTCCATTAAAGATATGAAAAAAAAAGAGTATGGCACATCCCAAAGAAAAAGGAAGAAAAGAAAGAGAAATATCTCTTACCTCAGCAGCGGCAACATATTCATAGAAGTCACGCAATACCATGTGCTTTAAGAGCCTTGTACTAACAACAACCGGTTTCCCTGTGGTAAGTGTGCCGGTCTTATCAAACACAATGCAGTTCACCTACAAAGAGAAACATATAACTCTTAGCAAAAGAACATACAACACAGAATGATTTCAGTTAGCTGCTGCCAATTTCCTAAGGGGGGTTAGTCAAGTAGAACTCAAAATTAGAACTGGGATAATTTGTGGGACAATATTTTATAGTGTTAGTCCATTGGAACTAGAACTAGGATAAAATTATACAGTGTTAGTCAACAAGAACCGGATAAAAAGTATAATTGAAATAATTATAAAAATTTATCCGACTTTTGTCAAATTTATATAGAAAAGAGAAAGTTCTAGTCTCTCAAATTGCTCCAAGTTGTAAGCTAGAACTATATAGTAAAAAACTAGAACTTTATTATTTATTTTTTTATTTTTCATATTTCATTTCTCCGTCATCTTCAAACCACACCATAAAATTAGATCACATCTCTTCTTATCATTCCCTTCTATTTAATGTTATTTTTTTACTTTTTATTAAATATTTGAATTGTATAATTAATTTAAATTTAAAAATTACAAAATTCATGTTTTATTAAAAATTAATTAAACTTGAGAGATGATGGAATGATGTCTGGTAGATCAAAAAAGAAAGAGAAAATGGAAAAACTATTTTTTTATTTATATTACAATAATAATTCCAAAAAAAATCAAAAAGTTAATCTTATAGTCTATCTAATAGTTCTTCAAGATTAATTAACACTAAAATAATAATAATAGTAGTAATAATAATAATAATAATAAGTTTTAAAATGTATAAATAGTAGTATGATCATCAAAATACATGACTCATATGCTTATTGATTTCTAAAAATTATCCGTAATTATACTAACAATTGTCCCACTAAAATATCATGTTTTAAAATATCGCTCCCAATTATCCTATTAAAATATCTCACATTAAAAAATTATCCCATAATAAAAATTGTTCCACTTCTATCAAAAATGTTCTAGCTGACTAACACCTCCGACTGCAAATGGCTTATCCAATTTTGCTTCGATCTAAACCCTGAATCTAGACCTCTAGATCAAGATAAAATCCAAACAAACCCACAAGGGCTGTAATTAAGTAAAAGCTATGTTATCGAATGGGGTACACAACATGAAATGACAAACTCACACAAAAAACCCCTTAAAAGGTATACCTTGCCATCTGATAAGTTTTGGGGGGTTATCTAAAAAATGGTCAAACTTAAGGGGGTTTGTGAAATTTACCCATACAAAACTAGCACATCAAATTACTCTAGGAATGAAGGAAACCAATAAAATTTTTCTTACAGACCTTGTGTGCACTCTCAAGTGCTTGACCGCCTTTAATCAGTACACCTTGTGAAGCACCAACGCCTGTACCGACCATAACAGCAGTTGGAGTTGCAAGGCCAAGGGCACATGGACAGGCTATGACCATAACAGATATCCCAAACTGAAGAGCAAGCTGAAAGCTATCCATTGAAGACGGTATCCATGATTTTGGGTAACAATTGAATTTACCAGCTAAAAACCATACAAGCCAAGTGCAGAATGAAAGAGTAATTACCTGCAAATACAAGAGAAATACATCTTTAATAACCAACAACAGTTATGTGTTAATTTGATCTATTGAAACTAATGTTGTTTTTTCGACATAAAGATTATCAGATTATCCTTTTTCAGGAATCTGTATGCTGGCTTGATGGTCACTTTAGCAGCAGATTAGGAAGAAAGATAGTACAGGGATTTGATGATTTTACCCATAAATGATGGCTGTTGGATGATTTCAGGGTTAAGACCCATTAGTGTCTCTTGTAAGTTTTGAATGAGTGCACTTGCACATGAGGGTGAAGGTTGTAAATATAGTCATGTTTGACTCCTGTACTAAAAAGAAAAAGGAACGTACTTGTTACTCGTTATGAACTTGCGATAGACCTATAAGCTTATCAGTTCTTTTTGTTTTTGTGGGGTTGAAAGGAACGTACATTGAGGCTCAACCAAGTTGTTAAAACATAGACATAGTGCAAAAGGCCATGGCGTAATTTAGATAAAGGATCCATGAAGCCTCAAACAAAATTACTGCTGTCAGAAGATTGTAAAATAGAAGTCTAAACCAGGGACAGATATCATAGCACAAGAGGTGCTAAGATGGACAAAAAGACCAGTTCGTACTTGATAAAGTCACTGAGCACCGTATATCAAATTCTCCCGATAAAGATAGTACCACAAACTAATAACTAATAACCATTTATGCTATCACATTACTTATTGAGGATAAAATGCTAATGTAAAAGTGACAAATACATAAAATCCGGACCAATTAGGTTAACTTACCAGAGGCACAAAATACTTGGAAATTCGGTCCGCAAATTTTTGTACAGGTGCTTTAGCCATTTGTGCTGATTCAACAAGGCGAACAATCTGCGATAGAGCACTCTCAGATCCTACATATGTTGCTCTCACATGCAAAACACCATTCTCATTAACAGTTCCACCTATTACACTATCACCCTTTCTTTTCGCAATAGGTCGAGCTTCCCCAGTTATCATGCTCTCATTGACATGGCTCTGACCCCATATAACATAACCATCACACGCCACCTTGCCACCTGGTATTATTTTAATAACATCATTCTTTTGTATCAATCGACTATCTATCTCCTGTTCACTTGCCACATTGCCCTGTTTGTCATAGGTTAACAAAATTGCAGTTTCGGGTGCCAAATCCATGAGCTTAGCAATGGCTTCAGATGTTTTGCCTTTAGCTAAGATCTCAAGGTACTTTCCAAGCAAAATAAATGAAATGAGCATTGAACTTGTCTCGAAAAAATCATTTCCCTTAAAATGTTCAGAACTTGCTGCTCTGAGTGCGGAGTAAACTGAATAAAAATATGCAGTGTTGGTTCCCAGGGCAATTAGCACATCCATATTGGCAGACCCGTGTCGCAAGGCTTTATATGAACCAGTATAAAACCTTCTGCCGATCAGAAATTGTACAGGAGTAGATAATACCCACCTCAAAAGCTCACCAACTGTCAACATGTTCACTACTTTAGCATCTAATATCTGATGGATCCCTGGAATGTACATGAATACCATGGAGGTAAGGAAAATAGGAATCGTGAAAACCAAACTCCAAAGAAAGGATTGATAGTACTGTTTGATCTCCTCACGCTTGTGAGGTTCCCTTCTTCCTTCTTCAGAGAATATTGACGCCTTATAACGCCCAGATCCCGTTGATTCGATTACCTCAATGAAGTCACGGGGACCTGTTTGATCTGGCTTGTAAGATATTGAAACTTTATGCAGGGAGAGATCAAAATCTAAAGCTTCAATCCCAGGGAGAGCTTGAAGAGAACTTTCGACCATTCGCATAGATTTTTCAGTGCGAATTCCATCAAGTTTGAGTTGTATTCGGTTCCTATCTTCTCCGGTGCTAATAACCACAGCTTCAAATCCAGTATCTTCAACTGCTTCCACAAGTTGATCTACAGTTACAAGCTTCAGATCATACCGGATTTCTGCTTCTTCTGTTGCCAAAGCCACCGAAGCTTTCAGTACACCATGAACCACTTGTAAAGCAGATTCAACAGTACTTGAGCACGAAGTACAAGTCATTCCTTTTATACGAATTCTGCAAAGTAAAACAGATTTTTCTTTCACGTCTTCTTCAATTAATGCAGCCTGGAATCCAACATCTTCAATTGTCTCTCTGATTGCATCCTCCTGTGACAGGGCCATACAAGAAAATTTATGACATGGTTCTGTGAAAAAGGATTTAGTAACAATAACAATGTGATATATACAACAAAATTATACATAAAAAGCCTAAAATAAAGAATACGATAACCACAAGGCATGCATTTCAATTAAGTACAGAGCAAAAAGACCCACTGCATGTAGTGCTTTAGTCATTACCTATTCCTTATATGGAAAGAGATACAAAGTATATATTGATGAGCAGAAGAATAGAGACCTAATGGCAGTGACATGACATAAAGTTTCACACGATATATTATTAAGAAAAGATAAACACAAAGTTAGTAACAGATGCACAAGTTAATTTGCATGCAATCCCAAAACCTGTTTCAATATTTGCAGGCAATCCCACTTAAATTAGACAAAAACCTTAATTAGTATATTCTATGTCAACTCTTTTTATATGGGTAAATCCCACTTATGGTGTATATGTACTAACAAGTAACAGTGTTAATTATTCAGGTACGTACAATCTTAACTAGTATATTCAATATCAACTGGTTTTATACTGGCATTCTTGTTTTTCACTATTTCATTTACAATTACTCTCACTATGTTTCTACAATTATCTTTTTTTCTGTAATGAAATATCTAGTATCCTCAATCTGAATAGTTTCACACCCTGATCATTTAGTTTCACGCACACAGATTATACCAGCCTTTGGCAGTCTAATGAAAGCCGTCCATCTTTTCCTAGATTAGAGATGAATGGAAGTATAGGATATAAAACATAACAATTGCAAAGTTAACATCATATAAGTTGCCTGTATTGAAAATCAACATTCCTCTTGGTGGACTACGATATAGTAAACATGGCTATCCTTATGAACTATAGAAAGAAAGCTTATCCAACTCAGTCCTTAGATATAGTTATTGTAATAAGGATAATATATGCAAATTTGTATAAATCAACCACATTACACTGCCACCCACAACCCGGTAGCTTCAGAATCTCCTGCTTCGTTTCCCCGGATAACACGGGGGCCATTAGTTTGATAGCAACTTACACCAGAAAATTAAAGAAAAAGAGTAACATTTGTTCCTCTAGTTCAAAGGTCACATCAAAGTCTTATTGGGGTCAGACATCATGTCCTAAAGGGACCACCATGAAGCAGTAACCAAACTCTAGCTACTGACCATTTTAGCTTGCCTTGAAACCTACTTCCAGTCTAAATTGCGGACAAATTAACTTAGAGGAAAGCAGCGCGCAGAATGAGATATTTTAAGACCTTACTATGGGCCAACTTTGCTGTATTCCCTTATTAGGACTTTATATTAAAAGCTAAGTTTTATTAGATTAAAATCAGTCACAGATTAGTCAACCACAAGGAGCCAAAAATGTTAATATTAAGATAAAGCAACATTATTTTGGAGTGAAAGTGAGCTTCTAACAAATTTGACAAACCTGTAACAGGTTTCATGTGGTAAAGTGACCATAACCTACCAATTGACATTAGTGCACCAACTTTATGTGGAGAATTTCGCACAAAGTCACTTCAAGCCTTCAAGGAATAAAAACCAAAAAGAAAACAAACTCAAGCAGTCCTACATGCTACTTATATTTCCGCAAGCGAGGGAAAATAAAATTGAAAAGTGAGATTAAAAGTTCTAGAAGATAGTTTCTTAATTAAAAATTGAGAAGATGGAAACAAAAAAAGTCTGAAATTTTTAGAGAAATTCAAGATGAATTTTGCCTCTTTACCCGTAAATTATCAAGTTAGCTTCAAGTTCCAAACTTTACGTTACAAAAAAAGAGTTTTATTTTCTCTATATCACATCCCTCCTAATAGAAACAAGGGTAAATTATACATAACCCCCCTCATCTATACTTTGAGTTGATAAACCCCATCAACTCATTTCTTAGCAATTAGCCCCCCTCAATTCATGAGAACACTAGCAATTTATCTTTCTAAAAATTGTTAAAACCCCCACAATTCATTTATTACCACTTCGATTGCCTCCCTCTATTCATGAGAAAAAAGATGGATGTTACTTTCAATTTTATCTTTCTAAAAAATTGCATTTCAAGGGTGCTAGTAAATGACTTGAGGGTAGTTATGTGCAATTTACCCTAGAAACAAAAATAACGAAAAACAACAAAAATCAGCGTAATGGCTTTTAAAAAAAACCTAAAAACTATAGTCTATAACAACCACCATTCTTACCCAATAATCAAAATTGATAAATACTTCACCAGCATCAAAACCCTACATCTAACATAACCATGCAAATACATAAATCTCCAATCCAATCTTCCATAAATAATAATAATTAACCAACATCACATTGTACTTCATAGATGAACCAACCAATCAAAGCGAACCCATCAACCCTCAACAGCCCAAAACCCTACAAAACCCCAAACATAAAAATAAAATTCAAGAAAGAAAAAGAAAAGGAAACTTACAGAAACAAAGGCAGGATAGAAAATAACTTGAGCTCGATCGTTAAGCACATCAACAGCCGCATCATGAATCCCTTGAAGCCTCTTGATCGCTTTCTCGACCGATCCAGCGCAAGCAGAGCACGTCATCCCGATCACCGAAAACAAAGCCGCCCTCTTCTCCTCCTCCGCCTCGTTTCTAGAAGATTCTAGATCGCCATTATTGATCTCCTTCCTTGGGCACTTAGGCATCGAGGGATACCGAGGTCTCGGCGAGAGACGGCGAGAGTAGAAGCAGCCATCGCTCTTCATGCACGAGAGAAGAAAACCTCTGCTCGCCATTTCCCCTTCTTCTTCCTCTGTTGAAGGATGCAGAGAGTCGGGGATTTGAATCTGGACTCCTTTTTGTTTATTTATATCGCTGGAGAGAGCTGCAGAGCTGTCAAAATGATCGCTATTTTGATTGGTGACGTACACGTGTCTTGGTTCGCTGGTTTAAGTGGGCTGGATTTCTTGGGCCGCAAGCTATGGCCCTTCTGCAGGGGAGTGCGTAAGGGTTTTAAGGAATCCAGTTTGTAGATGGTATACGAATGATCGCATGGTGACCTCATTAATCTAAGAATCAGGGGAGCTAGTAGCATTTTCAATGATTTTAAAAAATAATTCCAAAATATAAAGGTTTAAGAGACTACTATTGAAAAATCCAAAGGCTTTAGAAAGTATGAGTTTTGCTTCCGTTATTCAAGAAGTTTATTTTATTAATTTTTAATAGAGTAATATGGAAAATGTTGTTTCTTTTTATTCATCTCCCCAGTTAGGAAAATTCATGAACTTTCTATTTCTTCACCCACCTAATTTTATTAAATAATAAATAAATAAAGAGAAAACAGCCCATGGAGTAGGGCTCTAGAGACTTCTTCCTCTTCTTGTTAATTTCATGTATTTCGTATGTAATTCAGATCAATAAAACTCTTTTTTTCCCTCCTTACTCTTTCAGGTCCTTTCATTGATTTTCTATCTATTTTCTCAAAATATGATACTAATGATAATTAAAAAAGACATAAATGAATAAAAAAATCATGGATAGAATTTTTAAATTCTGGAAGATTGAAACTTTCACATTTTTGGAGAAATCTTTTTACTATTGCTGAATGTTTTTTATGCAGTACATGTGTGGAGGTTGGAAATGAAAACCATGTTTTATTCTGGCTGGATAAATGGGTAGGTCCATTTACCCTTGCTTCTTTATTTCCATCCTTATTTTCCCTCACCTCATCCCCATGCGCAACCATTAACAGTATGAGGTCTAATGACAACAACATGTGGAGATGGGATGTGCATTTTAGAAAACTGTTGACGGGGGATTTGGTCATGCAATATCTCAATATGATGAATCTCATCAATTCTATTACCTTTGGGCAACATGAAGATAAAAGAAAATGGTTATTGGATGCAAAAAAGGATTTTTCGGTTAATTCTTTTAATCAATTTTTTATTGATGGTGGATTAAGATATGATTGTGTAAACTTATGAGATCTTCCTGTTCCATTAAAAGTCAAGATCTTAGTTTGGTTGGCTCTAAGAAATGACTTAAATACAAAAGATAATATGGATAAAAAAGGAGTTTCTTTGGAGAAGACATGTTGTTTATGCTCTAAAATGGATGAGGACCATTCACATTTGTTTCTCAACTGTGAGTTTGTATACTCTATTTGGAGATCAATTCAGTTCAAATTGAGTACAGTTAAAGATTTTAGAATGAACTCTTTAAAAGAGGTTTGACTAAATTGGAGTATTGAAAATGATGGAGATTCTAATTTGAAGAGAAAGGTTTTCATTTGTTCTCTTCTTTGGTGTTTGTGGAAAGAGCGCAACGACATATTATTTTCTAATAAGCAGAAGAGTTCTCTTGTCCTCTTGAACAAAATTGTGACTTTCTCAACATTTTGGCTATGATCTAAAGGGACTTCTGCTCGAGCTGCCAGACTGCAGGAAAGAAGAAGAAAAAGAGCTGCTGGAAGAATAAAAGTTGCTGAAGATTCTGAGATTGAAGGCAGGGATGATGTCATCAAGGTGATTTCAGTTGGATTAATGAGAGTTCACAGAGTTTTTAATGCTTTGTGTTTTTGTCTGGAAGAAAACTCTGTTAGATGTTTACCTTTTGGTTTTTTGGTTATTGGAGTCAAACATCTTACTCTTTTTAGGAGTTTTTTCCCAGGGTTATACAGGGGGTTTATATGCTACTGTTTGTAGTAGTTTCTTTTGAACTTTAGTACATACTCTTGGTTGGGAGTATGAACTATTTTTTTTGTAACAACCAGTGTTATTTTAATTTAGCTGGCCGGAATACCTTTGGGGTGTTCCATCCTTTTTCTCAAAAAATAATAATAATAATAAATGTATAAAAAAAGGATAACTGGAGGGAGTTTGAAGTTCAATGGATGTTTCTTTCGAGTTAGTTGTAAGGAGAGAAAAAGAACCTGCATGAAATATTGGACATGAAATAAATAGAAATATTTACCATATTGCCATCAGGGCAATGGAAATCTCCACGTACGAATGAGTTTGTCACGAAACTAAAATGTGATAGCTACAGTATTGGAAGCTAGTTACAAATTTTGGCATCAATACCCAAATGCATGCATTTGCGTAGATAGTGTTTATTCCACATGATCCCCATTTGATTTGAATTTTCAGTGCTTATGATAATAATGATACCTCAAGGAATTATCTTTTTGTCTCCAGAAGTGGTACAGTCATGATGTAACACATAAAAAATAAAAAATGAAAAATGAAAAAAAGGAGAAAACTTAGAAATTTTCTATTCAACTTTTACTTCTTTCAAACAATACTAGTGTGCACCCTTTGCACGGTCCTTTTTTCGCTACATCAATTCTTTTTCCTAAATGCTACAATATTTTTAAATGCTTCGGTATTCTTTTTTGGTATAGTAATTCACTGTAGTATTTATTGTAGTATGAATAGTGAATCTTTGGATCCTCCTAAAGTATAAAGGAGTAGATATACCAAATATTTGTTGTTACAATCAGACATCATGGTATGCACCGGCTACAGTAATAAAATTTTGTGTAAAGTAATCCCTTTGTATTATAAATATTTATACTCAAAGAGATGCAATATTAACTATATGGGTAAAATAATTATTTCCCTTTTAAAGCACTGGTGAAATCTCAAGCTGCCCTCTAAAGTATTAGTTTACCAATTTTCCTTCTTTTTTTATCGCATCCTCTTTTCCTTCTTAAACTATGTATATGTGTCTAATGTGATCATTTTGTAAGTCAAATATTTAATAGATCAATGATGTGAGCGTTTTTTTTTTATTTCTTCATGATTTTTTTTAGTTTGTCTCATTTTTCCTAAATTATATTAAAAAAATTTAAACTACCTTCCCCGGCCAAAAAAACTTTTTAATCTTTTTTATGAATTAATAATATCATTTTTTTAAAATTACAAAAAAATATATGAAATGCAAAACAACACCATCACATCGTTAATCTATTAAATATTTGAGTTTAAACTCACAAGATGACCACATTAGGCATATATACATAGTTTAAAGAAGGAAATAGGTAAATTGATACTTCAGGTGGGTCACGTGAGAGTTCACGAATACTTTAAGAGGGTAATGACGTCCGTTAATTATATTTGGAGGATTTGATAGTATTCAATATTACAATGGAGGAGATCCAAATTGAAGTTCACAGTAGCCTCTCATTCTCTTTAAATTTCTTAATAAACGCATTTATCACGAGTAACGTCACGTCAAAGGCACTCTAAGACCATCTCCAACGCAGCGGCAAAATGCAGCGAAAAGTGCATTTGCCGCTGCGTTTCCGCTCCAACCCAGCAGCAAATTTTGCCGCATTTTAGCGGGGATGAACAGCGCGAAGCTACATTTGGAGTCGCACTGTTCATCAACCGCATTACTGTTTTTTTTTTACTTTTTACCTCTTAATTTGATGTATTTACAATTTGATCCCATTTGTTTCATTAAATTTATAAAACAACCCCAATGATATTTAAATTTTATAATTTTACCCCAATTATATAATTTGGACAAAATAAATTATTTTTTAAAAATAAACATAATTCTAAAATTTAAAAGACATTATTATTATTTATAATATTAAAATCTAGACATTATAAAAGTAAAGTCCCATGAAATATAAAGAGCAATCACAATACATAATTCAAATATAAATTACATATCTGAAATACATTACATATAAAAACTAACACACATAATATAAAACTTCATTAAAATAAAACATAAAATACAAACTAAACATGGTGACGTTACATAAGATGGACAAACAACTCTCAATAATCTGGTAGATCGGGGCCAGAGTGTCCAATATCATTGAAATAATTACCAAAGTTAGAAGCAGACCCTTGTTCTTATTGATTTCTTTTTTGTATTATTTTAATCTGTTGAGCTCGAACGTACTCACGCACGTTTGGATCAGCAATGGAATTCAAATCTTTCATTATAATTTTCCATTCATCTCTATCTTTTTTCATGGCTATCTTTTCTCGTTCGATATCAAATGCTACTTGCCTGTCCAAGCTCGTCTTGTCTAACCTGTCTATAAGTCGGTTGTTGGAGGCCTCGATGGAGTCCACTACACTTGACTCATGATCATTATTTTTTCTTTTCAATTTGGCTTTTTTTACCCCAATAGGTCGTTCAGATGGAGTAATTGATGACAGTCCAGGAGATGTTGATATAGGAGATTCCGGAGTGGGATTATCTGATTGTGACGAGTCGAAGTTCATATTTTGGGATTGTCTTCGACCAACTTGTCTTGCTGTGGGGACATCATCTTTAAATTTTTCAAAATTTTTAACCATATTCCAGACATGATCAAATTTGAAATGTACTTTGGTTCTTGCATAAATAACATCTTTGCTCGAACTAACTGCAAATTATAGTGAACATCAAGTTATTTATTTCAACAATAATAATAAAATTCAAACGATAATTAATAGAATACTTACAATATCTTCATCTGAAGCACCACTTGGATTCAGATTCTCTAGTTGTCTCAAGCACGCATTCAATTTTCTTACTTCATTACTTATTATTTCCATTCGAGAACGAATTGATCGGCTCGTACGCATCTCAAAATACTGATCTCGAAGTTCTTGTATTTGTCCTCCACACGAGACCAAAATGCATCTCGAGACTGGTTTCTACCGACAATAGGGTCTTGAGAAATATCCAAGAATACTTAACAAAGGAGCACATCTTTAGTAACCATGTATCCAGTTGATCGAACTGATATTTTTTTGTAAAAAGCGGTTGGTTTGGAGATCAGAAATACTTTGAAGAAATACTTCGAATTGGGTGGTTTGAAGTAGAATTCGTGAATGTTACTTATATCCAATCCAAATTTGTTTTTTTTTTGTTTGAACTTGAATTTGAGTTTGAATTTGTCGGTGGTCAATATTTGAAATTGAATCGTTTTGTACAAACTGGTCAGCTTTACACATTGTCCAACGTTGTCGGTGGGAATCAATTTTTGAAATCAGGTCAGCTTTACACATTGTCCAACGTATACACAGCTCAGCTTTCCTTGAATTGTGTGAAAGCTTTGTACGAGTGAGAATAATTTTTTAAAATCAGGTTAGCTTTACACATTGTCCAACGTATACACAACTCAGCTTTCCTTGAATTGTGTGAAAGCTTTATACGAGTGGGAATCATGTTTTAAAATCAGGTCAGCTTTACACATTGTCTAATGTATACACAACTCAGCTTTCCTTGAATTGTGTGAAAGTTTTGTACGAGTGGGAATCATTTTCCCCAATCAGGTCAGCTTGACACATTGTCCAACATATACACAGCTCAGCTTTCCTTGAATTGTGTGAAAGCTTTATACGAGTGAGAATTATTTTTTAAAATCAGCTCAACTTTACACATTGTCCAACGTATACAGCTAAGCAAATTTGAATTTTGTGACAAATTGATAACAACTGGAAAGCATTTCCTAAAATCAGCTTAACTATACACATTGTTCAATGTATACAGCTAAGCAAAGTCTTATAAATAGCATACTAGATTAGGTACATCCACACAATTACTTGTTATTGTGTTAAAATTATTATTCTCCATTTCTGCATACTTCAGTCATTCTTTTCTTACTTCAAAAATGAATTTCGATGCTGGAGGTCCATCATATTTATCATCATCTTCATCTTCGGATGATGATAATTTTTTGTCCAATATCATTGCAGAGATTGATGAAACCGAAGAAGTAATTTGTGAGTACATCAACAACAACAACATGATCCTCGTTAACAATTTATGTCAACAAAACTACCAACCGATCCATGGTGGCTCGATTCCTGGTCATGCAGTGATCAACCGCGATCGAGAAATTGTGCATCAGAATTTGGTCATAGATTACTTTGCCGATAATCCACGTTTTGGAGAAGATATGTTTCGTCGTCGATATCGGATGTCAAGAAGTTTGTTCCTTCGTATTGTTTATGCAGTGAAAGATCATGACTATTACTTCCAACAACGAAGTGATGGACTTGGTAGAATGTGATTATCACCGTTACAGAAAGTAACAGCTGTTTTTCGCATGTTGGCATACGGTCTACCAGCTGATGCTATGGACGAATACGTTAAAATAGGTGAGTCAACAGCAATTGAAAGTATGATAAAATTTTATCGTGTTATGGTGGAAATATTTGCAGAGCGGTATCTACGAACACCTAACGCTAACGATATTGCTAGGCTACTCTATATTCGTAAAAAACGTGGTTTTCCAGGAATGTTTGGAAGTCTTGATTGTATGCATTGGAAATGGAAAAATTGTCCAACGGCATGGTCTGGGCAATACGCAGGACGTGGTGGGTCACCAACTATTATCCTTGAAGCTGTGGCAGATTATGATCTTTGGATATGACACGCATATTTCGGTATGCCAGGCACCATTAATGATATCAATGTGCTGGAGTCATCTAATCTTTTCTCTAATCTAGCTCAAGGTATTGCTCCTCCCGCTCACTATGTTATTCAAGGAAAAGAGTATAATATGGGTTATTATTTAGCTGATGGTATATATCCAAAATAGGCTACTATTGTACAAATAATCCAACAGCCACAAGGTAGGAAGAAAAAATATTTTGCCATGAAACAGGAAGCATGTAGAAAAGATGTAGAACGTGCGTTCGGAGTTCTCCAATCACGATTTGTAATTGTGGCAGGATCAACACGTTTTTGGAAAAAACATGTATTACATGACATAATGACTGTATGCATTATTATGCACAATATGATAATCGAGGATGAACGTGACCTTTATGCACCGATTCAAGAAGTGAGGGAAGTACCAACACCAGAAGTTGATATTGTAGCAGATGAAACTACAAGATTTACTCAATTTATTACACGTTACAGATAAATCAAGGATAAAGATGCCCATATTGCACTTCGTAATGCATTGATAGATCATTTATGGGAGGAATACACTATTTCAGATAGTTAAGTGCATATTAAAATTGTAATTTTTACATTGTTGTTAATGTTTAATTATTTTCTTGTATTTTATTTTCTGTTGTGTTCTTAAATGTAATATTTTGGCAATATCAATAATAAAAATATAATATTTTAGCAATCAAGTTATTTTAATTAATAAAATAATATTTTATTGTTTTATTAGTTTAATTTTTTAAATAATAAATCATTTTGTTTGAAAAATATGTAAAAAAAATAAAATTTGATATGTGGGGTTAATTGTTAAAATAGTTAAAAATATAGGGAATAAAAAATAATAATATAAAAGTAGATAAAAAAGAATATACTGAGAATATTCTTTTTTGGTGCAAAAAATAATACAATGGGTTGGAGATGAATTACTGTTAGATGTGACTTTTGCACCATTTTGATACGATGGGTTGGAGATGCCCTAAATCCGAGCGGCACATTTACATTTCTTTTTAACACTCATGTCCTTGTATCGAAATTTTTTAAAAGGTGGGCAACATAAAACACTTTTCAAACATATTTTTTGGTAAATGAAAAACTTTTATTCATTTTCCAAATTTGAAAAAATTTAGCACTTCACAATACTCAGCAGCTGAGAATTACACTCATACATCTAGTTTAGAAATCAACTGAGATTTACAGAGAGGACTCAAAAATTTTAGTTGAGAACTACAGAGAACACAACCAATCTCTGCTTTCAGCCGGGAAAGAACCATTGAGAATATTTGATAGGATGTTAAACTTGATCTCTTTGAACACTTGAACTGTGGACTTTATTTGCAGCTTGAATATTCTGGCATTCCTCTCCGACCAAATGCAATATATCGTAGAGGCAAAAGCCATTCTTTTTAGCCTTTGCTTGAAACCCTTGCCTCTCAACCTGAAGCTGTACCAAGTCAAAATTTGCCCCCAAGCACAAGCCTTCCACTTGTATTGCAGCCAGTCCATAACCATGAACCAGACATCTTTTGAAAAGGAACACTCGAAGAAGAGATGATCTCTGGTCTCATAACCAGAACATAAGCAGCAGCAATTAGTATTCATTATCCCCATTTTGATTAGTCTGTCTTGAGTAAGCAGCCGATTATGAACTGCTAACCAACAGACAAAAGAGTGCCTGGGAATATTGATGGCCTCCTATACTGTATTATGCCAAGGAAAAAGAGAAGAAGCAGGGAAAAGATCATTGTATAAAGCAGAAACTTTAATTTTAGAATTCCTGTAACAAGATTGAATTATCTGCTTCAAGTTATTAGCACCTCCAAATAATTCCTGAGCTTTGTTCCTGACTTTTAAAATCTGTTTCCACATCCAGGAATCTCTAATTTTTGCTTGAGTTGACCAGATATCACTTCTTTTCAAGTATGTGCTATGAATCCATTTTATCCACAAGCTTTCCTTATTAACATGTATATGCCAAAGTAATCTCAGGATTGAGGCAAAGTTCCAGGTTGAGGCTGAGTATATGCCAAGACCACCATTTTTCTTGCGCAAACAGATTTTGTCCCAGGAAATGAGAGAGAATTTTTTAACCTGCTCAGATTTACCCTACAAGAAGTTCCTACTCATCTCATCAATTTTCTTTAGTACACTTATTGGCAGAAGGTAATTTGAAGTCCAATAGATTTGTATACCAAGCATAGCACTCTTGATAACTTGCAGTCTACCTACATAAGATAATCCCCTATTTTTCATACATGCTTGAAACTGGCCAGATACTTTGTTGAGGAGAGGAGAGCAGTCCATGAATGATAATCGATTACATATCATGGGGACACCAAGATATCTGATAGGCAAGGTACCCTCGGAGAAATTCAATACTGCCTTGATCATGTCTTTAAAGTTTTCATCAACCCCACCATAGAAGACTTTACACTTCTCTGGGTTAGCTTCCAGACCTGATACAGCACTAAATTCTTTGAAACATTTGAAGATCTCTCTAACTGAATGTAAGTCACCCTTTGAAAAGAGTAGAAGATCATCCGCAAAAATTAGATGGGTGATCTTAAGCTCCCTACACCTAGGATGAAACTTGAATGATTTGTCTTCCTTGAGCTTAGCCAGTCTTCTAGATAGATATTTCATTCCCAATATGAATAAGTAAGGTGAGAGAGGATTACCTTGCCTTAATCATCTTTCTCCCTTAAAGTAGCCATGAAGTGAACCATTTAAAGAGATTGAGTACTTAGGAGAAGATATGCATGCCATGATCCACTTTATCATCTTT